GTAAAGGGTTTCCCCTACCTTGTAGGTCGTGTAGTGAAGGGTTTTCTCTACCTTGTAGGTCATGTAGTGAAGGGTTTTCTCTACCTTGTAGGTAGTGCACCAATAGGGTTCCCCCTACCTTGTAGGTCTTGTAGTGAAGGGTTTCCCCTACCTTGTAGGTCTTGTAGTGAAGGGTTTTCTCTACCTTGAAGGTCTTGTAGTGAAGGGTTTTCTCTACCTTGTAGGTCATGTAGTGAAGGGTTTTCTCTACCTTGTAGGTAGTGTACCAATAGGGTTCCCCCTACCTTGTAGGTCTTGTAGTAAAGGGTTTTCTCTACCTTGTAGGTCATGTAGTGAAGGGTTTACCCTACCTTGTAGGTCTTGTAGTGAAGGGTTTCCCCTACCTTGTAGGTCTTGTAGTGAAGGGTTTTCTCTACCTTGTAGGTCGTGTAGTGAAGGGTTTTCTCTACCTTGTAGGTCATGTAGTGAAGGGTTTACCCTACCTTGTAGGTCTTGTAGTGAAGGGTTTACCCTACCTTGTAGGTCTTGTAGTGAAGGGTTTTCTCTACCTTGTAGGTCTTGTAGTAAAGGGTTTTCTCTACCTTGTAGGTCATGTAGTGAAGGGTTTCCCCTACCTTGCAGGTCGTGTAGTGAAGGGTTTCCCCTCCCTTGTAGGTCGTGTAGTGAAGGGTTTCCCCTACCTTGCAGGTTGTGTAGTGAAGGGTTTTCTCTACCAAGTAGGTCGTGTAGTGAAGGGCTTCCTTACCTTGTAGGTCATGTAGTGAAGGGTTTCCCCTACCTTGTAGGTTGTGTAGTGAAGGGCTTCCCCTACCTTGTAGGTCGTGTAGTAGAGGGTTTCCCCAACCTTGTAGGTCGTGTAGTGAAGGGTTTCCCCCACCTTGTAGGTTGTGTAGTGAAGGGTTTCCCCCACCTTGTAGGTTGTGTAGTGAAGGGTTTCCCGTACCTTGCAGGTCGTGTAGTGAAGGGTTTACCCTCCCTTGTAGGTTGTGTACTGAAGGGTTCCCCTACCTTGTAGGTCGTGTAGTGAAGGGTTCCCCCAACTTGTAGGTCATGTGTAATAGGCCTATAAAATCGGAGGGTACCTCTTAAGATTCCTAAGCAAATATATTGCTTGTCAAATTAGAATTTTAATAGTTGTTGTAAGTGCAGCTGAGTGAATGATATACTAAGTTTAACTGACGTGTGTACAGGTTGTACGAGGACACATGTTAAGCTGAGCTTCTATCCATAAATTGGTGACGTCTTTTCCAAATATCACAAGCCAAATGAACACCCACATACAGAAGAATTATACACTTGCATCAAACGTGACACTGGCAATTATTGTAGGAGTTGCCTTATTTTCTTGTCAGTGTCAACTCTTCAGGGTTCCTGTAGCAAGGAAGATCATAGGTCCCCAACTTAGCTGACATCACAGAGTGATCTCAGTAGAAAGGCAGTGTAAGCCGTACATCACAGATCTGGACAAGAACACTGCTACGTTAGCTAGTCTAGTTCTTCAGAGAACTATTTCTTGGAAACAATTACTAGTCCTGTTGGAAAAGGAACTAGCTAGTTGCCTGGTCAATTTGTGCCAGGCAAGGATTATAGGATTAGGGAAAACAATTGTTGGATATGGATAGTAAATTGAAGTTTTCTTAGATATGAGGTGAGGTGAGGTGAAATTGGGTGTAAAGTCGCGTCCAAGATTATTGCACGTATATAGCGACGTGCATGCACGTGTGTGTGTGTGTGGCTGCTTGTACTAGTCCGGACTGATGCCAATTTATAGGGCTAGCCCACTGAGATACCTTGCCGCAGTTTAACATGAATACCCCACTCAGACACAGTATACTGACTCCGAGCCGACCAGTCCTTGTTTTAGCCCCTTTATGCCGAGCGCCAGACAGGGTAACAACAAGTACCATCTTTTAACGTCTTTCGGTATGACGCGGTCGGGGATCGAACCTCGGGCCTTCCGCTCTCTAGGCGGACGCTCTACCTCTAGACCACGGAGGCGGTCTTTTTAGATATGAACAATCTAAATGTCACTATGCCTTTAATAACTTGATATACTTGCCATAGGCCAGGGGTTCATGTTCATTCTTATATTGTTTAAGATCCATGTATGATTTGGGTGGTATTAGAGCAGATAGTCAGTGAGATTATTGTTAGTGTTGTTCATAGATAGCATAGGGAAAGAATGACATTTGCTTTGTAAGCCTGCCAGTGAAGATCCGGGGTAGAATAGGTCTTCAGCAACCCATGCTTGCCGTAAACGGCGACTATGCTTGTTGAAAGGGTGGTCTGAGGCTCACAGACTTGGTTGATGCATGTCATCAATCCCATGGATCGATGCTCATGTTGTCAATCACTGGATTGTCTGGTCCAGACTCAATTATTTACAGACCATCCTCATATAGCTGGAATATTGCTGAGAGCGGTGCTAAACAACAAACAAACAAAAGCTTTGTAAGCCTCAACTCACAAGTTGTCGTAAAGAAGGTAATTCAAAATTGTGTTGGAAACTGTAAAAGATTCTGCTGTTTTGGCTGAACTGTTTTTTGGGTAGGGACCCTCCAAACTTTCTTTGTAACATTAGGGTTATGAATTTTATCCTTAATTTCTTGTTTCAAACGCTGAAAATGTAGAATGCGATGTCCAGCTGTCGTGATTTCATCGAGTAGTGAATGAAGGTGATATCCTGTGATGGAGAATTATGACGTTGATGCCACTTGTGTGCAGTAAACACCAGTCATGCTTGGCCATTGCTCGGGGGCTGTCTGTGAAGATGGCACCACGATGAGGCTCTCTTATTTGCTCCAGGCTCAGACATGATATCCTCAGGCATGGTGCACACTAATTGATTCTGGTTATGGCAATTTAAAGAGTTGAGGAGCTTTGGGAAAAATTGTTAATTCTGAAAGTCGAAAGAAATTGTTCTCCATCATGTGTAATGATGTTTGCACTGACCTGGCTGATAGTTCATTGATTATCATTGCTGCCAAAGGATAATATGTCATTTAATCAGATCAACCTTTGCATTTAAACATTTTGCCATTTGCCAGGTGTCAGTCTTTCATTATAGTGGCTCACGGCCTAGAGGGATTGCTATGTTTGTGTGTTAACACCCCATTCAGGGTCACAAGTGGTGTCCTGTACCTCCCACCTGCTTGAGGATGACAGCTTGAAAAATTGTCACTATTGCATGGTAAAAGCGCTATTGTAACACTCTTGCACTTGTTTGACTATAACAGTAAGATGAGAAAGGATGTATTCATGTATTTTTTCCACAGTGCCTATTTCCAGCTATATACATGTTCTAGTATTAGGAGGTTGTGTAGGGTAAATAAAAATGTTTTAGAGGAAAAAGATTTTATATGCTTGCTAGAGTTGTGAATAATTGGTATTTGTCTCTTTTAATTTCCTCTGTTGAAACTGTAGTCTAGCACAGATAATATCTTACTGTTGGTTAAAATACTAACACAGTATGAAGATCTGGGTTAGAAATGGTCCTCATTCTGCGTAAGAGTCAAACTAGCGGGATCGGTAGGTCAGGCTCGTTGACTTGCATGTCATCATATCCGAATTGCATAGGTTGATGCTCATAATGTGACTGGATTGTCTGGTACAGACTCTCTATTATTACCGATAGTTGTCATAGAGCTGAGTGCAACAAATATTGTCACCTATTGATGTTTGAATTTGTCACCTGTGTATTGTCATTGGGTCAGCAACAAATAGATGTGCTGCATTGATAGTTGGATGGATGGTCAACAGGTACTTGGTCACAGGCTGGTCCATGTTGCTGCAATTAGCTCTACAGAGTTGTGTCCCATAGCTGTGCTTGAATCCACTTGATGTGGGTTTGCCCTATTATTAGGTGATGTGAAATGGAAACATAGTGTTCAAGTTTATTCCACTTGAATATATAGCGATATGTGTGTGTATGCTTGTGTTTGTGTGTCTGTGTGTCACTGTGTCACTGGACTAATGCTAGTTTTATTGTGCTGAGCTGCATACCAGTTTAACATTGATACCCTAATCAGACCCACTAGAAACTCCTAGCCGACAAATCCTTGTATTATCCCCTTGATGTCGAGGGCAGCCAGGGTAACAACAAGTACCATCTTTTGACGTCTTTTGGATATGATACGACTGAGGAAAACAAAATGTGAAAAGTCTAAAATGGTTATCCATGCAGTAAAATAGATATATTACAATTATTTTGTTCTCAAATAATGACATCATGTGGCAATCGATTTGTCTGTAACCCTATCAATATATAATATTGTAACGTTTGTGTGTGGTCTTGAATATGTTGAATGTTTATTTCAATGTACAAATTGAGCTTTTCTAAAATTAGACAAAGTAAGAATATCTTAATAAATGAGGGTACTTACAGTTAGGGTTGAAAGTATTTTATTGCCTTGATAAGACCTCATGAGAGGCCATAAAAATGTCTCACATTTGGTGGCTTCCGTTTGGTATGCATGATGGAACTTGAGACAGTGCATTTGCATCGTAACAGTGCATACCATTGGATTGCCAAGTCCAGTCCTGGTAAGTTGCAACCTCAAATGCATCAAATACACATGGACTTGATTAGAATGTAGATAAGATATAACATTGGTCTGAAGGAGATGACCAAGAACTCTAAGTAATATATTTTCTGCCTTAGTTTTAATGTGTGCCCCAACTACATGAATGAAATGTCAGTATCTTTGTAAATATGACACAAGGGTTTACAGTTTTGACTGGAAAGAAATTGTTTTATGTGTGATCAATATCTTATTTGATTTTGAGTTTTTGATGAAAATGTCTATACGGTTCAGTTCCAGAGCTTGGTTTCAAGATGGCTGTAATCCATCAGCAACTATTCTACATCGTTAATGTTTTTGTCGGAGAATATAAATCATCATCCTTATTGATGATATGCCAATGTTTCATTTTACACTCTATGATCAAAGTTCTTTTCCTTATCAATGAACATTCAAACCAATTACTGTTTCTTGTTTCAGAGTCCAAGTGTTCATCCTGACTCCCTCTTGCCAGCGTGCTGAGCAGCTGTACCTGGCACCATCCTCACCATCCTCACCATCCTCTTGACTGGTGACCACCCTCGTGGTCATCTCCTGTGGTGGCCACTACCTGTCCATGGTCGGTGGAGCAGCCAGGGTGTGAGTGGGACTGAATGTTGGGGCTGGCTATACTCTCGTGTAGGTGCCTCAAGCAGCCGTAGACAGATTGCAGAAAGAAGTGAGTCATGATGTTTGTCGGCTTGGTTGTTTGTTGTTTCACGCTGCACTCGGTTAAATAACGCGTCCTGTAAACATCAACTCAAGACCATACACACCAGTGATTCATATTGTTTGTTTGATGTTTTGAGCGCTGCACTTGTTAATATTCCGGCTATATAACATGGCATGGAAACAATCCAGTCAAGACAAACAAACCTTTGATTGACGTGGTGAGCAACGTGCCACATAGTGGTTACGACAACACACCGTGAACCAAGTCTGTCCACCCAATCCATTATGTCAGCTGTTAAACCATCAGTGCTGAATATGGTATTATGAGTTGGTATTTGAAATGCTTTAGTTCCTGTGAATACCATAGATCTATTACATCATTGCCATTATCCTGTATTTTGGCTATCAATATATATTTTGGATGGAAATAATTTGATGAATAATATAGAAATGTTTGCCTTAAAATAACAATGTGGTCGATTTGTTTGGTGTCATTTCATTTCTTTTCTGTTTAATTCAAAATTTTGCATGTCTGACACTGACCCAATTCGGAGATGTGACAATTATCTACTGAGTTGTATCACTGGATTTGGGAAGCAAAAGTGTGAAACTGAAGCATTGCTTCATCTTGTTGCAGGTGTGGCCCCTCTGAGTTGCTTGATGAGGGTTTCTCTGTGTGCCGAGTGTGTGTGTAACTCTATCTAGGAAATGAAGTATACCTCTGTACCAGGACCTCCAACTGTCAATATGGCTGAATACAATGTAAGTAAAATATGTTTACTTGGCATGTTTGAGGATTGTTGAAATAAACGTTTATTGGGTGAAAAATTTTCTTTCCAAGATATCACACTTATTTGCACACTGGTTGAAATCACCCGTGGCAAGTGACTTACCCAAATAAATTTAAACAATATTAAAAGGAATTTTGAATAAAATTAATCAAATAGGTTACAAACATAAGTCCAGATATGCAATGAACACTTTTATAACCGGACAGTGTAATAACAAGATTACATTGCATACTCCAGTACGGATTTGTTGACATGGTATTTCCAGTGTTACGTGCTCAGGGTAATGTCTTTGCATTGGGGGAAAAAAAACTTCAAAACTCATTATGGCGTGTTTAATGCACCCCCTTCTACACTGCGGTGGTTTTTTAAAAAAAAAAAGTGTGCACTATGCTAAAGAAGATATGGTAGTTCAATGTGCCTCTGTTCACCAGCAGGGAATCGGTACCCGATATGTGAGGTGGATGTTAAAACCCTCTGGCGCCCGTTGGTAGCTTGGGTTGTATACTCCCCAGGGATTTGAGAATGACATCTGGAAGGCAAATATATCCACTGGTCGAGGAACAAATAAACTGCATTTGAGCAAATCCTAGTACCTGGATAAGCAAGGTATAGAAATGTATAATATAATAATAATAAAAATAGGTAACAGGATCGAGTGGTCAGACTCGCTCACTTGGTTGCTTGCTTGCGTTTCCTTGTATTCTGAAGGCGTGGATCATTGTGGACAATATTGATCACTGGGTTGTCTGGACCAGACTTGATTATTTTCAGGCTGCCATCATATACTTTGAATATTAGCTTCATAATAATAGTTCACACTGCTCCTCGTGCGCTGCAGTAAACTGCTTTTTGTTATGGACCTGGGAATCCATTGATTGCTAAGCAGTGTAATGAGTATTGGGCTAATTCATTTAGATTAAAAGTACTTGGAACAGCTTATATTCAGCCAAATCTCCCTAATCAAGAAAGTTGTCAGTCATTTGCCCATGCCTCATGTTTTATAAACTGCATTAACTTGTTAATACTTGAAAGGGTTCTGCCGTGTTGACAGCTATGAACTATAATACTGCGTTGATTCCTTCATCTTTACCTTGTGTAAACAAACGTTTTCGTTCAAGTATAGGCTCGGAAGTCGGCATTTTGAAACTTTTGTTCGAGAGTGACTTTGGTATTTATTATTGTCGTGACTTTCTTTATTTTGGGGCAAGATCAATACCAGTCTTATTTGCCACACAGTTTTACTGTAAAGACAGTACGTCCCTAGTAATCTGGAGGGTACCATTTTCTGTGAAATGAAAATTCCAGAGTAGTGTTTCATTGGTAGGTAGTAATGCACCTCTAGCTGTATATATATGCATATACATATTCCCAACTGTATGTGACCGGAAGAAGAGGTAGCAGTTTAACATGAGAGCAACAAAAACAGAGAGGAACATATTTTTTGAAGGGTTTTCAAATTTTAATATTTTTGTGTTTGAACTTTATTATGAGAGCTTTAAAGAAACAATAAGGTACCCTTATTATCAGTTTAAATAAATTTGTATTATGATATGCTATGCTCCTAAGTTCTCAGTTTCTAATTTCCAGTAACTTTGTGTAGCTGAATTTTATTTTTGTTTCCTGCATCTTGTAATATATAATTGGTATAGATTATCTGTATTTTGTGAAATTAAGAATTGATCTTGTCTTATGAGAATAAATTCAGTGGACTCATGCAAAATGTTTTTGTCAACAGAAGTAAGGCCATTTTCTCATAAGAAAGCTTGAGCGAACTGAAAACCTGACCTGCCAATGAGAGTGTTAATAAGTGCATATATACATTTAGTTTGGTATCATGTTTTGTCCGATTGTCCAGCAAGCGCTTGCAGCTCCAGACTTCTTCTTGTCGGCCAGCCTCACTTTGAGACTTGAGTAATGTGAGTCGTGCCACATAAGGCTCACAGGGGCTTAGTGTAAGCATATTGAGAAAAATCAATGTAATTTCCTTGCCTTGCATTTAATCACCTTGTAAGTATGGTAAGGAATAGGTCAGTAGCTCATTTACTGGAGGATTCTGAAGGTGGTGACGAGTGATTGGGACAAGTCCTACGTGTTGTGCCTGCAGATTTCACAGATTAGGGCTCAGATGGTACATAGGGGAAGTCGACTTTTGATTTCACAGATGATGGGGATAGCTAAAGTGATTGTTATTTCAAATAATAGGGATAGAGAGAGTCACCATTGCTGTCAAAGCTGTAAGGAAAGATAGAAGACTTGTCTCAGAGGACAGGGAGGGTAGAAGACTTGTTGTCCCAGAGGGTAGGCAGGGAAGAAGACTTGTCTCAGAGGGCAGGGATGGTAGAAGACTTGTTGCCCCAGAGGGTAGGCAGGGAAGAAGACTTTTCTCAGAGGGCAGGGAGGGTAGAAGACTTGTTGTCCCAGAGGGCAGGGAGGGTAGAAGACTTGTTGTTTCAGAGGACAGGGAGGGTAGAAGACTTGTCTCAGAGGGAAGGGAGGGTAGAAGACTTGTTTCAGAGGGCAGGGAGGGTAGAAGACTTATTGTCTCAGAGGGTAGGTAGGGAAGAAGACTTTTCTCAGAGGGCAGGGAGGGTAGAAGACTTGTTGTTTCAGAGGGAAGGGAGGGTAGAAGACTTGTCTCAGAGGGAAGGGAGGGTAGAAGACTTGTTTCAGAGGGAAGGGAGGGTAGAAGACTTATTGTCTCAGAGGGTAGGTAGGGAAGAAGAATTGTTTCAGAGGACAGGGAGGGTAGAAGACTTGTTGTCTCATAGGGCAAGGAGGGTAGAAGACTTGTTTCAGAGGGCAGGGAGGTTAGAAGAATTGTTGTCTCAGAGGGTAGGTAGGGAAGAAGACTTGTCTCATGGGGCAGGGAGGGCAGAAGACTTGTTGTCACAGAGGGCAAGGAAGGTAGACTACTTGTTTCAGAGGGCAGAGAGGGTAGAAGACTCCATTACTGTCTCAGAGGTCAGAGAGGGTGGAAGACTTGTTGTCACAGAGGGCAAGGAGGGTAGAAGACTTGTTTCAGAGGGAAGGGAGGGTAGAAGACTTATTGTCTCAGAGGGTAGGTAGGGAAGAAGAATTGTTTCAGAGGACAGGGAGGGTAGAAGACTTGTTGTCTCATAGGGCAAGGAGGGTAGAAGACTTGTTTCAGAGGGCAGGGAGGTTAGAAGAATTGTTGTCTCAGAGGGTAGGTAGGGAAGAAGACTTGTCTCATGGGGCAGGGAGGGCAGAAGACTTGTTGTCACAGAGGGCAAGGAAGGTAGACTACTTGTTTCAGAGGGCAGAGAGGGTAGAAGACTCCATTACTGTCTCAGAGGTCAGAGAGGGTGGAAGACTTGTTGTCACAGAGGGCAGGGAGGGTAGAAGAATTGTTGTCTCAGAGGGTAGGTAGCGAAGAAGACTTGTCTCATGGGGCAGGGAGGGTAGAAGACTTGTTGTCACAGAGGGCAAGGAAGGTAGACTACTTGTTTCAGAGGGCAGAGAGGGTAGAAGACTCCATTACTGTCTCAGGGGTAGAGAGGGTAGAAGACTTGTTGTACAGACAGTAGGACTGCAGTTCACTTTTCAAACTATACATATTGCAATATATTGTCTGTGTTCCTTTATATTTGGTAAAACAAGTTTCATTATTATTTATATCGTTTAACCTAAAATCTGCACAGAAATTCATTGACAAATGATGTTTCCCTCTGAAATTGATTGTTAAAACTTGGGAAATGCAGAAGTGATTTAGCTCTCATGTTGCTATCTCCCCTGTGTCCATGACTACAAAATGGGGGTGACTGACCATACTGTGTTTGAAATCATAATATTCACTTTTGTATGTAGCAATTGTATCTGCAGGTACAATCAGGCCAATCACTTTCAAACACTTTGGCTTCCAATAGATTGCAATACGTATCGTAATACGGTACATTGCAATACGTATCCCAATACAGATACATGTTTAACAATATATTGCAATACAATTTTTGCCAATATACAGCCCTTGCATTCATCCACTCATTCCCTCACTGAAGACAAGAGGACATGTATGGCCAAGTTGACAATGTAGAGTTGCCTCCCCTTTCGATGCAGGAAGCCATTGATTGTTGGTTCAGATCGGTGATAAGATATGGCTTGAGTATGATCCTTGCATCCTCAGCCCCACCATGACCCATGCTTGTGGGTTTCAGGAAAGTGGTAAATGTCAAAGACCTGCATGACGTTGGCATTCCTTCTGCAGCAGCTGACAATGTCTGTAAAGCAAATTTTAATAAAAGTCTGGCCTAAGGAACTACCCGAAAAAGACATCTTTCCAGAGCTCCAGATAACTTTTTGAGCAATTGAGTTTTTACTCTTAGTTTTCTATTTCAATTGGGTTATTACATTTTTGATTAGGTAACCAATATTTTTTCACTCATCTATTCATCACTCTATTGGGTATTTCCCAAAATTAGTAAACATTTTAAGATTTAAAAAAAATGAAATAATGTTTTTCATGTATATAACTGTTCTAAATATATAGGCTTGACTCAGAAAGTAAATTACCTTGTAAATGTTTTTTTGAAATAAGCTCCTTTGTACGCATGCTGAAAAAGCTTCATTGGGTACTTATGCGAGCTGTTTTTATATATTTGAGTTTTTCATTTAATGCATGCGTTTCTGTACGCAAGTTAATTGAAAGTAATTGGGTTGTGAATATTTGGGGGTGGGGTGGGGGGGTGACTTTCTCTGCTAGCAGTACCAGTACATACTTCTGGAAGCTTCTGACTTAGTTGAAAAGTTTGGCAAGCAATACCAGAATTGTAGAGTCACAATGGCTACTATAACAACTTCAAAGGAAATTTTGTAGGCATTGATGGCAATGTGCATCATTATGATATGTAAAGAGTATAAATATGTGTATTAGTTGATAAAAAAATATTTTGTATTACATAGGAAAACCTTGACCTCATTGTTTTGTGTGTTTTTATGTCCGGCATGCACTGAGAT